AAGTGCGTCCTACCAGGTCATTTTCAAAACAACGAGCGCATTCCATCGCATTTCTTCGCAAAACTCCCAAAATATTGAATAAATCGATGAAAAATATGCCAGAGGTTTTTAAGCTGTCGTCCTCGATAAAACACGACTAAATGAGCTCTCTACGAGATTTCGCCGCGTTATCTTCAAAACATCTGGAAGCTGGACTTTTGTACATATTGTTTTTACATATTACGAAGGGTATACTACAAAATGACCTGGTTGAATGCGCTCGTCATCTTTCAGAAAATGACTGCGTCCTACCAGGTAATGATCAAAACAACGAGCGCCTTCCATCGCATTTCTTCGCAAAACTCCCAAAATATTTAATAAATTGACGAAAAATATTCAAGACGTTTCTAAGCTGTCGTCCTCGATAAAATACGTCTAAATGAGCTCTCAACAAGATTTCGCCGCGTCATCAAAAAATCTTAAAGCTGGACTTTTAACGGATCTCGCATTATCTTCGAAAACCAAATTGTTTTTACGTATTATGAAGGGTATACTACAAAATGACCTGGTTGAATGCGCTCGTCATCTTTCACAAAATGACGAGTGCGTCCTACCAGGTCATGATCAAAACAACGAGCGCATTCCATCGCATTTCTTCGCAAAACTCCCAAAAAAATTAATAAATCGATGGAAAATATTCAAGAGGTTTCTGAGCTGTCGTCCTCGATTAAACACGATTAAATGAGCTCTCAACGAGATTTTGCCGCTTCATCTTCAAATAATCTCAAAGCTGGACTTTTAAACGGTCTCGCATTATCCTCGATAATCAAAATGTTTTTTACGTATTACGAAGGGTATACTACAAAATGACCTGGTTGAATGCGCTCGTCATCTTTCACAAAATGACGACTGCGTCCTACCAGGCCATTGTCAAAACAACGAGCCGTTCCTTCGCATTTCTTCGCAAAACTCCCAAAATATTTAATAAATTGACGAAAATATTCAAGACGTTTCTAAGCTGTCGTCCTCGATAAAACACGACTAAATGAGCTCTCGACGAGATTTCGCCGGGTCATCTTCAAAAATCTCAAAGCTGGACTTTTAAACGGTGTCGCATTATCCTCGATAATCAAATTGTTTTTACGTATAACGAAGGGTATACTACAAAATGACC